GGCATTCACCACCATGCCGGGCTAATTTTTTGTATTTTTAGTAGAGACAGGGTTTCTCCATGTTGGTCAGGCTGGTCTAGAACTCCCAACCTCAGGTGATCCGCCCGCCTTGGCCTCCAAGTATTCCTTTTATGGACCATATTTTTGGTATCAAGTTTAAGTCATCTTTGCTCAGTTCTACATCATGAAGTTTTTTTCTTACTAAAAGTTTGATAGTTTTAATGTTTTCCATTTAAGTTCATGAGTTATTTTGACTTAATTTTTGTATATGGTATAAATCTTCAGTTGAGGCTTACTTTTTAACCTTAAGGATTGCTCAACACCATTTATTGAAAAAGCTGTCTTCCTTCCATTGAATTTTTTCTACACCTGTGTCAAAACATCAGTTGCATATATTTGTGTGTATCAATTTCTGGGTTTTCTGTTCTGTTCCATGGATCTATGTGTTATTCCTCTGTCAATACCACATAGTTTGGACTATAGTAGCTGTATAATAAGTCTTGAAACCCCTGAAACCAAGTAAACTGGTTTCTTTCACATTAGTCTTCCTTTTCAAAATTGTTTTAGCTTTTTTTTTGAGACAGAGTCTTGCTCTGTTGCCCAGGCTGGATCTTGGCTCACTGCAACCTCTGCCTCCCAGATTCAAGCGATTCTCCTGCCTCAGCCTCTTGAGCAGCTGGGACTACAGAAGCACGCCACCATGCCCAGGCAACTTTTGTATTTTTAGTAGACATGGGGTTTCACCATATTGGCCAGGCTGGTCTCTAACTCCTGACTTCATGATCCACCCACCTCAGCCTCCCAAAGAGCTGAGATTACAGGCATGAGCCACTGTGCCTGGCCTGATTTTCTATATACATTGTAGAATAGTGTTGCCTATATCTATTTTTTAAACTTGCTGGAATTTTTTTTTAAGAGACAGAGTCTTGCACTGTTGGCCAGGTTGGAGTGCAGTGGTATGATCATAGTCCACTATAGCACGAAACTCCTGGACTCTAGCGATCTTCCCACCTCAGCCTCCCAAGTAGCTAGGACGATATGCACCTGCCACTATAATCATATTTAAAAGGACTGTCAAAAAAAATTTTTTGAGATCAGATATCGCTCTGTTGACTAGGCTAGTCTCAAACACCTAGCCTCAAGCAATCCTCTTGCCCCCCAAACCACTGGAATTGCAAGTGAGCCACCAGGCCCAATCAGTATAATGTTATGTGTACAGGTTTTTATAGATGTTCTTTATTACATTGAGGAAATTCTCCTCTATTCCCATTTTTCTGACAGTTTTTAAGATCATTCAAGAAGTTTGTCAAACTCTTCCTGTATCCATTGATCGTTATGATCAAGGATTTTTTATTCAGCCTGTTAATACAATGGATTAAATAGCTTCATTTTCAACTACTGAGCCAGCCTAGAATAAACCTCACTTTATCAAAATATATTATTATATATGTTGCTGAATTCTGTTTGCTCTTTTTCTGGTCTTTTGGCAAGAGAGAGTAGGCTTTTGTTAGGGCTTTATTTGTATGTGCACATTGTTATTTCTGGGTTGTCAGCCTCTTTCTCTCCAACTCTGGGATATATGGGACAAAAACATAAGCCAGGGAGCCCACCACCTTGTTATACCTTGAGTCCCTAGGTCCCTAGGTGGTCTGCCTTCTTCTTTTCACCTTTAAAAATCTTCTTACATTTGTTTTATATATGACATTCAGAGTTTTTGGTGGTTGTTTAGCAGAAGTACAGAAAGATATTCCATCTTCCCTAAAATAGAAGTTAAGATTTTGTTTTGAAAGGCACTGGAGGCAGTCCAGGGAAGGCACATAAAAGGCTACTGCACTGGTCCTGTGAGGGGAGTTAGTCGGATAGAAGGCTGTTTTAACCACCATCTTCCCCTCACATTCTACTGCCCCATCTGCAGGGAGCTGAGGTTCTACTATCCCAGAAGGGCAGCAAGAGAAAAGGAGCAAGCATTCTCTTGGAGCATTACACCATGATAAAGGGGCACCAATACCCTCCAGATGATAGCTGTTTCTTTCTAGAGCTTTTAAACATTCTACCTCAGCGGAAGAAATAAGTCACTCCTACAAGCATCCTACCAATATGCATTTCTCCAAAGTTTCAACTTGAATGAAATTTTAATGATGGCTGAATTTGCTATTTTCTCCTGTCTAATGTATTTCCTGTTTATAATTCCCTTTTGGCTAATAGCACTAATCAACAGAAAACACTCACAGACTACATAATGGCAACAGTAATTCTGGACAGAGATAGTTTTATTATCTACAGATCAATCTATGTTTCTAGAACATTATTTACTATAATGTAAAATGTGGGCCAGGCATGATGGCTCACACCTGTAATCTCAGCACTGTGGGAGATTGAGGTGGTCATATCACTTGAAGTCAGGAGTTGAAGACCAGCCTGGCCAACATGGTGAAAGCCTATCTCTACTAAAAATGCAAAAATTAGCCGAGTGTAGTGGTGCATGCTTAATCCCAGCTACTTGGGAGGGAGAATCAAATGGGAGGATCACTTGAACCTGGGAGGCAGAGGTTGCAGTGAGCCAAGATTGTGCCACTACACTCTAGCCTGGGCGACAGCACAAGACTTCATCTCAAAAAAAAAAAAAATGTGGTAGACAAAAATTAATAAAGGTCATAATTTCTATGCACCAAAGCTTTTATAAGAGGCCTGTATTTTAGCAATCAACCTGTCCTTATTCTGTTCAAATTTAAGGGCACTTGAGTCACTTTAGATGGTGTCACCTACAGTGAGAAGGAATCACAGTACACATTTTTTTTTTTTGCCTATTATGTTTGCAAAAGAAACTTCACAGAATTGTCTAGCAACCTTGTGACCACTTGTTTTCTTTTCTTGAACATAATAATCCTTTTAACACTTTAAGATTGCCATTTTCAAGAAAACAGCAATGATTTACATAATTGAATTGTATTTGTTTTAAAAAATTGTACTGCACTTTAGAATGAATAGTTAACCAAAGAAGAGCCCTTTTGCCATGTCTCTGAAAACATCACCTATCAATACACTCCTTCCTATTGCCCCAGTATCAATTTCTTTATAATACATTAGTGTAAAGGTGCCCTTTGGCACCAGCAAAGAAGAGATAGGAAGGTCTTTCTGAGCCTTGACATCACCCAACTTGGAGATGGCCATTTTTCACCCATGCATCTCCTCGCTTTGCCATTTGGCATCCAGTCATTCAAAAACACCATTGACCATCTACTCCTGACATAATTCAAGATGTGATTCTTGTAGTCACGTTAGACCTTGCCTTATTCACGTTTATCCCCCAACATCTAGATCTGTTATACACTGTAGCAAACTTTCATAAAATATCTAATGAAAGAAAGAAAAAAATAAAGAATATTGAATAGCCAGGTAATACAATCATGTATGTAGAAGTGTTACGATGTTAGGAAAAATTATTGGCCTTAAAAATTTGCCATTCATTCAACCTGTACATAGTATGCACAAGGTTCTTTGTCCCCAGACTGTTGGCAATACCAAAAAAGGCCTTTAATCTTAACAATAAGTAAACCTTGGTAAAAATTCTTTTAAGCAATCAGTGCTTGTCAAACTCTCATTCAACAATCATCTGTATGAGAGGCTTCTAAAACTTACTTAGAAATGAGGCTATTTGGGCTGAAATCCTAAAATAAAGAAATAATTGTTTTAATGAGGGGCAAGTTATGAATAAAATTGAGTCATAAATCAAAAGGATGTTAACTGAAAAAGAAGTCCCAAAGCAGATGGTGAGACAGTGAAGACAATTAGAGAGCTTCTGCCCCATTTCAGGAGGAATATTCAGGACCAAAGGCACAAAAGAAGCAGGTGAGGAGTGACCTCACCCAAGAGAAAATAAAAACGTTTTCATTAGGGGAGACACCAAGCAAGAATACCACAGTGTTAACAAGGAGTGGATATTAACAGGTAAAATAACACTTTCCCACAGATGAGCAACCTGAGTTGATCTGTAATTATGAAATTGCAGCCATGTGTGGTTGCTCACGCCTGTAATCCCAGCACTTTGGAGGTCGAGGCAGGAGGATTGCTTGTGCCCAGGAATTTGAGACCAGTATGTCGGAAACCCGTCTCTACAAAAAACACAAAAATTAGCCAGGAGTGGTGGTCTGCATCTGTAGTCCCAGCTACTCGGGAGGCTGAGGAGGGAGGATTAATTGAGCCCAGAAGGTTGAGGCTGCAGTGAGCCATGATCATACCACTGTATTCCAACTGACAGATCAAGACCCCATCTCAAACAAACAAGAGTAAACATTCAGCCAGGCACAGTGTGTCACACCTATAATCTCAGCACTTTGGGCTGCCAAGTATAGAACGTTGCAGGATAGAGGGGAAGAATTGCTTGAGGCCAGGAGTTTGAGAACAGCCTGGGCAACATATGAATGCTCCTGTCTCTACAAAAAATAAAATTAGCCAGGCACAGTGGCATGCACCTGTGGTCCTAGCTACTCAGAAAGTGGAGATGGGAGGATCGCTTGAGCCCAGAAGTTGAAGGTTACAGTGAGCTATGATCACACCACTGCACTCCAGTCTGGGCTACAGAGTGAGACCCTATGTCTAAATAAATAAAATGAAATAAATTAAAATAAAATAAAATGTAAATTAAAAGTAAAAAAAGAGTAGACACCCTAAGCCCATGGGAAAAAATCTGGTACTGGCAACTGAGTGACAGACTCCTCACCTTTAAGTAGAAAATTTGTTAAACTAAGATGTACAGCAGGCTATTGAATAATGTCGTTGTTCAATGTCATTTCAGTATAAGGTTGATGAGAGAAAGATCAATTCTCAGCCACAGCCACTGTCTGAGTGGAGTTTGCACATTCTCCCCATGTCTACATCAGTTTCCTCCAGGTACTCCTGTTTCCTCCCACATCCCAAGACATACCCATTAGGTTCATTGTTGTGTCAAGATGGTCCCAGTGTGAGTGAGTGTGGCTGTGTGTGAGCACACCCTGTGATGGGTTGGTCCAGGGATAGTTCCTCCTGCCTTGCATCCTGGGTGAGTTCTGGCCACCTGAGACCCTGAACTAGAATAATGGGGTAAATAGTCACCTTAGTTGTTTTTATTAATCTTTCTTAAATATATCTATAGATCACATTTATTTCAGTGTTTAATGTTAGAAATGTTTTGGGGCTTAGGAACTTAACTTTTGTTTATATCAATTAACCTATGGTCAGATTGGTTTTGTTGTACATCATTTAACTTAAAGTTGCAGTTTCCAAGAACCTATTAAGAATGTTAAGTGAGGACTTGCCGTATTCATAATGCCAATTTTCTTTCACTTAGGTATAATTTGGTCAGGTATTAGGATACCAGGCACTGGTAAGGATACCAGTACACTGTAAGTTAGATGAAGAGGGCTTTTTTTTCTTTTCCTTTTTTTTTTTTTTTTTTGAGATGGAGTCTTGCTCTGTCACCCAGGCTGGAGTGTAGTGGTGCCATCTCAGCTCACTGCAACTTCTGCCTCCCAGGTTCAGGCAATTCTCCTGCCTTACCCTCCTGAGTAGCTGGGACTACAGGGACGAGCCACCACGCCTGGCTAATTTTTTGTATTTTTAGTAGAAATGGAGTTTCACCGTGTTAGCCAAGATGGTCTTGATTTCCTGATCCGCCTGCCTCAGCCTCCCAAAGTGCTGGGATTATAGGCGTGAGCCATTCTGCCCAGCCAAAGACGGCTATTCTAACTGGAACATATATCTATCACATATATGATATAAACAAAAATCAAATTGTTATTAAGAAAAATTCTATTTTTAAAGAAAATATTCTAATGAGTAATCACATGTAGTTTCTTCATTTATCTACATTGAAAGAGCATCACATGGCTAGGTCTAAATAACTGTAAGGCAGCAGTTTGCAACCCTGGCTGCATATTGGAACCATGAGGGAAATATAAAAAGCACTCATGCCAGTTTAAGAAACTCATTTTTTCATCAAAGGAAGCTTCAGGTTTGGGTATTTATTTTCTAGAGGGATATCACCATTCATTGGCTAAGTGAAACAGAATTATTAGGTTTAAGAGGAAATCATCAGTGGCTGCGGGGTTGCCAACAAACTTATAACCCTGTAAACCTTTAAAGTTTACAACCTTGGCAGCTTCTTTCAATCAATTGGCAACTTGTAAAAATCCCAAGGTCTGGACTGCACCTTAAGCCTATTGAAACTTTGGGAGGAGGAATTTAGATGTTAGTCTTAAAATCTTTGTAGCTGAAATTGAGAAACATGGCTTATGGGTTGCTTTACTGTTAGAAATGTCCTATAAGAGTCAGAAGAGCAGATGTTCAGATCTTTGGTTCTCATGAAAACCAATCAACCAAGAGATTTCTTTAAATTTTTACCCTGCCTCATTGATTCAGTTCTGTTAGCTGCCATTCTTCAGCTAAAGTTTGTGAAAAGATCCTGGTTACTTAAGGGTACATCATTTGCAACAGTAACCCATAAGTAAAGAGTCTCTGCTGCAAATTCATTGAGATTCTGTTGTGGCTAAGTTGTGAAGCACCATCATCTCATCATTGACCCAAATTAGACCTTGGTAGGGAATTTTAGGACTATAATTTAATGCATCCTTGTGCAATTAAAGGATAGCCCTCCCTATCTTATTAAATAGTCTGTAATGAATGGAAAGAGGTCTTATTTTGAACATATTGCTATATATATGACCTAATTAAATTTGCTAACAATTCATTTTTTTAGGAACAACTAGCTATCTATAGCATTAAATCTATTAGAGAGTTTTCATTTTAAAAAAGAAATATTTCTTTGTAAATGAGTAAAATTTTCTAATAGTACCAAGCAATTTGCCTCAGGCATTATTCTGAGTTGCTTTTGTTCTTTAAAAAGGAGTCCACACATAAAAAACCGGAAAATCATTTTAAACCCAATTTATTCAAATTCACTAGCAGACCTAGATACCGCTTTTTCTGTGAACAACAATGAAAACAAAAGAGCCCCCCCATGTAGTGAAGCTATCCAATGACAACTTGGATTTCAAACTGAGAGAAAGAAAAACAGAAATAGAAATGCACCCCATTTTAATGTTTACCTTTAACATGGATAAGACAACCGGAAAATAAATCTAGATGACTCTGTGGTTTCCACATCCTATGGGAGCCTACCCGGGTGCTTTAAGTCTCTCTTTCAACCTCCTCTCCTTTCAGGGGCTGGTATCCTCCCCTCTCAAATCTTACCTTTAAAGAGGAATTGATTAAGTATTGTTTATTTGTTCCTTAATAGGAAGTTCATTATTTTGATGGAACCCTCTTCCAAGGATTTACATGTTAAGATTTATTGTTAGTATTCTTATAATAATTGTTGTTATTTAAAAGGTGCAACAATTATTATAATTGGAAGTGAAGTAACCTTGGATCAGTGGATTTTTCTGGACAACTCTATATGACCAGACAGAGTTGTCCAGAAAAAAAAATACACTTTATATATACTTACATCTTAAAGAGAAATAAAAAACTGTTCTTAAAATGTCTTGAAGATACCAACTGAGGGAAAAATGAATTTAGAGTATTTTTTAAAAGCCTAAATAAAGAGAGACTGCCTAGACTACCAGCTGGAATGAACGACTCCGAAATAAAAGATCTGGGGGCTTTGAGAGGCAGAAACTATTATGAATTCACAGGGGTAGTGAGACTTCCATGGAGATGGTAGGACACAAATTGACATTGGTGGGATGGAAATTTTTCATTGCTAATTTTTCATTAACAGTTCAAACTATCTGCATATTTGGTTTCACACCAACTGAAATTCTAGATAACTGACTTATTACACCTATGACAAATCGGATTTTAGGTCTTTGTTGTTTTTGCTTTAAGACGATGCAGTCTTGGAAAAAAATTGAGAAAATAGTTCTTCAGAGACAGAGACTTATTGAGCTGAAGAGATAGAAAGGAAGTTAATTTTGAGTAGTTTCAAGCCATTTAGACAAGATGATCTGCAATGGTTTGAATACTTGTCCCATCCAAACTCATGTTGAAATTTAACTGACAATATGGCAGTATCGAGAGAAGGGCCTTTAAGAGGTGAGGGGTCTGCCATTAATGGATTAATGGCTTAATGGGTTCATGGACTATGGATGAGCATGGAAGTGGGACTGGTGGCCTTCTTAGAAGACGAAAAGAGACCTGAGCTAGCACACTCAGCCACTTCACCATGTAATGCCCTTTACCACTGGGGGACTCTGCAGAGAGTCGTCACCAGCAAGAAGTCTCTCCTCAGATAGTGTCCCTCAACCTTGGATTTCTCAGCCTCTATAAGAATTAAATTCTTTTTCTTTATAAATTGCCCAGTTTCAGCTATTCTGTTATAAGCGCTACATAAAATGAACTAAAACGCTATCCTTTTAACCTGAGCATTTAATAAATGTTAACTCTTGTTGCCCTTTTGCTAACTTTGTACATGAATAACTTCTTTGTAGCACCCCATAACTTCTCTCCAGACTTGGCTTTTTCCAAGACTGCTGACCCAGGATTTAAAAGCTTATCTTCGCCTGGGATCCCTGTACTCTGGGAGGCCAAAGCGGGCAGATCACCTGAGGTCAGGGGTTCAAGACCAGCCTGGCCAACATGGTGAAACCCCATCTCTACTAAAAATACAAAAAATTAGCGGGGCGTGGTGGTGCACGCTTATAATCCCAGCTACTTGGGAGGCTGAGGCACGAGAATCACTTGACCCTGGGAGGCAGCGGTTGCAGTGAGCTGAGATCACACTATTGTATTTCAACCTGGGTGACAGAGTGAGTCTTTCCCCCCAAAAAAAAGAATGAAAGAAAGAAAGAGAGAGAAAGGAAACAATAAAATCCTATCTTATTCTCTTCTCCTTTTACTGATGGTCGCTGCCTCTAATTCTCTAATTCAGAGCCTCCTTTTTTATTCTTTGCAGTCTGGCAGCTGCCACTACCATCCTGATAACATTGCTCTCTGGAGGAGACATTGAGGACCATATCCCTAGAAACGTGAGCTGAAACCAAACTACTAAAAGACATTTTGGCTGGGTACTGCGGCTCATTCCTATAATCCCATCACTTTGGGAAGCTGAGGCAGAAGGATTGCTTGAGCCCAAGAGTTTGAAACCAACCTGAGCAACATAGTAAGACCCTGTTTCTACTAAAAATAAAAACAATTTTAAAAGGACATGAGCCAGTTGTGGTAGTGTGCCCCTGGAGTCCCATCTATTTGGGAGGCTGAGGCAGAAGGATTGCTTGAGTTTGGAGGGTGAGGCTGCAGTGAGCTATGATTGCACCACTGCACTCCAGCCTGAGCAACAGAGTGAGACTCTGTATCAAAAAATAAATAAAATAAAATAAAAGACATTTTTAAGATGCGTAATGAAGAAAGATTGTGGAGAGGAGAGGAAGACAAAAGATACAACTCCGGTGCATGGTAGAGGCTTACCAAGAGGAGAAAGCAGCAAGACACACAGTGGAAACCACCATGAGGCAAGAGATGACTGAGAGACTGTATTGTTACTGGAGCCACGGAAGCAGCAAATATAAAAAAGTTATTCTTACTGCCCAATCCAAGCTCAGAGCCTCCTCACTGATTTTCCTACTCACAGACCCTCCCAGTGCCACTGGTTCACACAGAGCACTGGTTCTGGGGTCCTAGCAGTCATCAGTTTACACTGTTTGATCCTGTTCAGCTCCTCTGGCTTTGTCTCTCTTTTTCTTTCCTTCTTCTGAAAGCCTAGCTGGAGAAAATAGCCCTCCATACCCCAGAACACACACCACGTTTTCCCATCTTTAGCCCTCTGCTCACTAATGACTTCCCCTCTATCATCTCCACCCACCCTAATCCTACCCATAAAAAGAGGAAAAAAAGAAAACAAGCAGAGTCTCACTCCAACTCCCAGGCTGGAGTACAATGGTGAGATCACAGCTCACTGCAGCTTGACATCCTGGGCTCAAGCAATCCTCCCACCTCAGCCTCCTGAGTAGATAAGACCACAGGCAGGCACCACTGCTGGCTAATTATTTTGGAGGAGGGGGGCAGCCTGTCACCCAGGCTGGAATGTAGTGGCTAGATCTTGGCTCACTGCAACTGCTGCCTCCCAGGTTCAAGCAATTCTTGTGCCTCAGCCTACCGGGTACCTGGGACTACAGATGTGCTCCACCATGCCTGGCTAAAATTTTATATTTTTACTAGAGATGGGGTTTCATCACATTGGCCAGGCTGGTCTTGAAATCCAGACCTCCAGTGATTTGTCCACCTTGGCCTGGGATTACAGGTGTGAACCATGCCTAGCCTAATTTTTTTTAATTTTTTTTTTTTTTTTTTGTACAGACAGGGTCTTGTTATGTTGCCCAGACTGGTCTCAAACTCCTGGGCTCAAGCGATCCTCCCACTTCTGCTTCCCAAAGTGCTGAGACTGCTGTTACAAGCTACTGCACCCAGCCCCAGCTCAACTCTGTAGTAGGTAAATGAATAACCAAATGATGGCTCCTGTACAATCTTGATCACAGTCACATGCCTCAGTTCTCAGTATGATCTGAAATCTGCCCATAGTGCTGCCCTTTGAATAGATCAGCACCACACATTTTTCACTGATACCTACAGAAATTACCATAGTTTACATTATCAAATGTCTAAAGGAATATGTGCTCATAGTTCCCATACCCAAACACACATTTTTTTGTTCACATATAGCAGTTATCAAAAAGTACCCAAGACTTTTCTCCTGAGCTACAAAGTTACAATGCCCTGCCTGCCCTCCTATGCTTAGCTCTGTATTTTCAGTTCTTTCTCTCTCATTTATTGATTTTAGCCCCTCTCTTGCCCTGGTTTATGTGATATAATCCTGTAGGGAATCAAGTAGATGCTTCCAATTAGATTCATTACAAGTTCCCTTAAGAAGCAATTAGGAAGGTAGAGTCCCAAGTGGCTGGTTCCCTCAGTAATACCAGCAGCATTTTTAGGGTGCATGCCAATGCCAGACCAGGTTTTAAGTGCCACGTTTACTCCTTCATCGCCAAGGGATCCTTGGAAGCTTGCAAAACTCAGTGCAACTGAGCATAAAGTAGTGCTTTATTGAATGCTTTCATGTGGCAATTACAAAGAAAACAAATATGAATCCCTCATCAAAAGGTAGTTTAGGGTGGTAATGCATGGACTCTGTCGTCAAATGGTACTGGCTTTAAATTCTAGTGCCAGCTAAAGGACTTTGGGCAAATTACTTAACTTCTCTGATCCTGTTTTCTCATCAGTTAAATGGGAGTAATGGTATAGTAATAGGGCTTTGGGGGGAATTAAATGAAGTCAGCACAATACTTAGTACATCGAGTTCAAATAAATGGCAACTATTATCATTACCATGAAAATTAACTTTCCAGTGAATCACATGACCTGACTTCCATTTCAAAAACTGTATTTTTACTAGAGATGGGGTTTCATCACATTGGCTACAGGTAGTTGCTAAGCTATTTGTGAAGTCTACAGGCTATAAGAAAGATGGCAAGTAGGGAAAAAGGGAAAAGAGGAAGAAGTTTTTCTGTTCTCCATGGGTCAGGTTTTCATTGCTACTGAACTCTTTATACAAGTGTAATAGAGGCCGGGCATGGTGGCTCATGCCTGTAATCCCAGCACTTTGGGAGGCTGAGGTGGGCGGATCATGAGGTCAAGAGATCAAGACAAGTGTAATAGAGATAATATTTTGAAAATATTAATAGTTTTCTTTCCCCTCAGAAAACTGCAACCTCTGCCTCCTGGGTTCAAGTGATTCTCCTGCCTCAGCCTCCAGAGTAGCTGGGATTATGGCATGCACCACCACACCCAGCTAATTTTTGTATTTTTAGTAGAGACAGGGTTTCACCATGTTGGCCACACTGGTCTTAAACTCCTGGCCTCAAGTGATCTGCCTGCTTTGGCCTCCTCTGTAAGTGCTGGGATTACAGGTGTGAGCCACCATGCCCAGCGATTCTTTCCCCTTCTTTGTATCTGGTTCTCTTATGCAACTAATATAGCCTAAATACATCCTTAATCAGGATAGAGGAAAACCTGATATAGACGAAGTTCTTCCTTTTGGCCTGGTGGATTGTGGGAAAAGTAACAGAAGGCAAGTGGTAGCAAAAGCAACTGGTCAGACACTTGTGTTCTGGCTTGCTCCCTCCAGGCAACAGACTGGAAGAGGGAAGAAGAGTATGTGGTACATAAACTGGGAGAGAGCCAGATGCAAAAGCAGAGGGTTCTTATGCCCCAGTCCTAGCTCAGCACTCTGAAAAAAGACTGTAGTGTAGAATGGCTTACACCAACCTGCTGCTACCACAGAACAAGGAAGGTGGCAAGGAGGTCTGGTTCAGCAGAGAGAGGGCCTGTATTCCCATTCACAAACTTGCCTTTCCTCTTAAAAGGCAGAGAAGGGCTCCAGAAGTTCCCAGACTCCCCTGTAGAACCAGACAAGGTAGGTAACAGAAATGGCAGCTTTAGGACCTGTCATAATGGAGCCTCTGTGGTTAGGGGTGAGATAGATAACAGTAACGCCAAGGCCAGGGGCTATAACAAGCCTAAGCTGGGGGGGCTAGAGAGAGGACCTGGCTCAACTTGGTGGCATCTGCAGTCCTTGCAGATGTGAGGTAGGGTGGATCTAACTGAGCCTAGGAGCAACACTGCACTTGGAAAAGACCACTGCAAGGCTCTGGGAACCTGACTGGATCAGGCACTTCAGAGCAGAAGCAGGAGACAGGCCCTGCATTCAAATGAAGGCTCATCTCCCCCACCACAGTGGGATCCACATGCCCAAGCACCATCTGTAGAGAAGTAGAAAATGAACAAAGGGGTTATTGGTAAGATAGCTAATCTACCCTGTGCAGAAAAGAATTAACTTTGCACAAAGAGAAGTTAGGCCTTTGTTCCTGAGAGTAATCCTCAAGCCTTTGGAATGTTCTGCCTGAGTTACCTGAGTCTATACTAACAAGGTGATTATGGTGGGGCCCTGGGCTTTGCAGTATCAACCCAACCTCTGGAGGGCTGGAAGCTAAGGTAGTCAAAGGGTGGTCAATAGTATCTACTGGCAGTCAACCATATCTGTGTAACCAAGCCCCAGTTAAAAACTTGGGACACCAAGGCTCTGGTGAGTTTCCCTGGCTGGCAGCACTCTGCATATTGCCTGACATAGTTGCTGGGAGGAGTTAGCACTGTCCAGAGTTCCACTGTGATATGACAACTAGAAGCTTTGCACATGGAACTCTCCTGGACCCTGCCACATCGTGCCTTTTCCCTTTGCTGATTTTCATTTCTTTCCTCTCACTGTAATAAACCATAACTGCAAGTATAACACTTTTCAGTGAGTTCTATCAATTATTGAACCTGAGGGTTGTCCTGGGAACAAACCCCCAAGAGACTGGGCCAACTGCAGTGAGTAAAGAAAGACTGCATCCATTTGAGCAAATCAGGAAGTATAATTGTCTTAGGGAATTTCAGTGGTGCTTTGTAAATATGTGACCCTACTACTCAAGCAAGTAAGGACTCCTTACCACTCCAAATAAAGCATGGATGAAGGAATCACAGCTAGCTTGTCATTATTTTTCAAACTGAAGAAGGGGACATGAGCACTGCCTTCAAACATTATAAAGCCATCGTGTAAGAAAGGAACTAGAATTAGTGTTTGTCTAGCTGGAGGGTTATACAAAGCCCAACTGGTAGAAGTTATAGAGGGCCAGGCTTCAGTTTACTCTAAGCACAAACTTAGTGACAACCAGAGGCCTCTAAAAAACACAAGACGCTGACTCAAAGGTATCTGAGTTCCTCATCACCAGAGATCTTAGAGGCCGACAACCCCTTGTACTGAGATTGTGTATGGAATGAGAGTTGACTCAAATGTCCTTCAAGTTACATTCCAAGCTGAAAGGCTGTGATTGAAAAATAAGATAACGGCCAAATATCAACAGTCAGTGGTGAGTCTACATATGGATGTTTATTTTTTCAACTTTTCTGTAGGTTTGAAATTTTTTTAAATTGGAAGCAAACAAAAAAGGAGAAAGAAACATTTTTTAAAACTACCTGGTGGCTGGAAATCCTCAGTCGTTTATAAAAATAAAGCAACATTTATTTTCTCACACATTAGGATTAGAGTCAAGGATAATGGGTATTGCATCTGATGAAAACACGTGACAGTTCCCATATTTTACCATTACCGGCACAGCTAGGTTTCTAGTATTTTGTATTTAGTGATTTCAATGAACCGAACTGTGTCCCCTTAAAATTCATTATGTTGAAACCCTAATTCTTAATGTGACCATATTTGGAGACAGGACCTTTAAGAGGCAATTAAGGTTAAAAGAAGTCATAAGAGTAAGGCTCTAATTTGATATGATTGGTAATCTTGTAAGAAGAGTCAGAGAGGGGGTCAGGATGAGGGAGGGTGAGGAAGAGAGAAAGAGAAGAGGAGGGGAGAGAATCTCTTCCTACCCCTTGAGAACGCAGTGGAAAGGCAGCCATCTACAAGCCAGAGAAAGAGTCCTCACCTGACACTGCTGCCAGACCTTGCTCTTGGACTTTCCAACTTCAAGAACTGTGAAAAAATAAATGTCTGCTGTTTATGTTACTCTATCTAAAGTATTTTGTTATGGCAGTCCTAGCACACTAGGACAATGACCTTTGAGTGATTTACTGACTTATTTCCTGCCAGTGTAATATTATTCATATTACTATCGCTCTTATATACAATTAGGTATATATTTAAACCTTAGTATATTTATAGAACAGGCAAAGCATTAACAGTGGCATTTCTGAAGATGTTTTTTAGATAGGGTATCGTGCAAGCACACAAGACAGAGCAGGTGATGGTGCTAGCAATTACCACAGGATTGACTCCAAATCCCATTGTCCTAGGAGGAAATGGCAAGAGAAAAATCATGAAACTTGTCGATAGCATGCCCCTGTATGAAAAAAGAATGACCCAGATAGGTGACCATTGATGAAACCAAGATTAGGATTTGCCGTAAACGCTAGTGTCTGTACATATATTAATGTCTGAGGAGATAAGGTTGGAATTTTACAAATCATATTTGTTCAGAATTGTAAACATAGAAAATGATTTTCCTGCTCTCGACTGGAGCAGCACCATCTGCTGGAGCCACTCAAAATGCAAATTCTCCAAGTCTCATGGAACTAAGCAAAGTCAGCAGCCTCCTCTACCTGCTCCTTTTCTGGACCTTAACATCCCCCTTCTTGTTTCCTGACACTGGCTGACACTTCCTTCCTGAGCTCATAAATAAAGATTACCTATTTATATTTCTTGTTTTCATTATGTTTCCTGCAGCTCTGTTTCCTGTATATAATGTATCTTAGAAGAATGAATGCGAGGAATCTGTCAGGAGGTTTTTAGTAAGAAAGCTCATCTTTAATTTTGCAGAGTAGAAACTTGAAAAGGGGAGCTAATTCAAGGGTATAGTTCTTTTCACAAATACAGTCCTCTGTGTGTGTGTGTGTGTGTGAATCCTGTATCATTTGCCTAGTTTCCTGTCTCTATTTCTAACCCATTGACCTCTAAGGTCCAAACTTCCCTCCTCCTACCTTTTCCTCTTACTTCCTTTTGGCTCCCCAGACTCTGAGACTAAACCTGTCCTTAGCTGGAAGACGTGTAACAAGTCACACTCAATGCTAATCTATTGCTGATTCAGCCTTCATTTTTACTCTGGTTCTAGCAGATTCTTACTGAGCCCACTTCCCATACTCAACCCTCAGTTCCCATAGTGAACTTTGCCGTTTCCCCTAATGCCTGAATCTCTTCCTTGATTATCTGCCCAGATCCTCCATTTTCTGTGGCTGTCATGGGGAAAAGTGTTGGGGGAACAATTTGAATAAAAGAACATGCTGAGATTGCTGGGAGATGGTTGAAAAAAAAAGCAGTGAAGAGGTGTAACACCGTAACACAGCACTGAACTACCTGCGGAGCCAACTCCAAGATGGAGACCAATGTGTAGGAGGTTTATTAGAGTGTTCCCGTGTGTTCAACACACATGGAAAGAAAGCAGAATGGAGCAATGATAGAAGTCAAACTGCAACACAGCCTCAAAGCCTCAGTTGATCCTTCAGGGAGTTCTAAAAATAAGATGACCCTTCTGAGGTGACTTGACTTGGGGCAAGAGAAGTCTCAATCTTCATACCTCTTGTCCATCAACCACTGGCTGTGGGCCTCCATCAGGGCTGTGGCCTCAGGCAAGGAGGCTATCTGCAGCTGAGACAATGCCCCAATGGAAGTGACCCAGAGAGCTATCATCTAGCAGCAAGGAAAGTAAGTCCTCAGGAGATTTGGTCTTTCCTAAAGGAGAATGAGTCTTTCCTGAAGAGACATCTAGGCAGTGCATCCCAGTGTCCCCTACCCTTATGTCACCTCACCCCCAAGAAGCACCATTACTTCCTCTGCCCAATACAGAACATTTTTTATTTTTCACCTCACTCTCAATCTGGAAGTCACTCCAAACCCCAATCCCAAACACTAGAAGGATTAGCCCCTCTTGTGACAAGGAGTCCTGGAAGAAACTGGACAGACAGTGCTGAGCAGCACAGGGAGTACTTGAACAGAACATAGTGAAAGGAAAGCAAAGCCTGTTCCAAAGGGGTGAAGAACCAGCAGCAAAAATTTCACACAGCACATGCACGAAAGACAGATACCATGGATAGAGTGGACCTGGAATGGGTAGCAAGGGAGACCTTCCCAAAACCAGGAAATGACTGTCCAGGAGTCAGTGACCTAAATATAAAAACCAAAACCCAAGAATAGCAGAAGAGACAACCAGACCAGAATATATATGAACAGAAACCATCCTCCTAGCCAAACGAGTCTAAGAGCTTTCCCCAGTTTTCTTAAGAAACAAAAGAAAGAGAGAGAGATAATTTCATAACTTCCCTTTTTCTACAAATGATTTGCTTTGGTAGATCCTTAGTGAGAAGGAAGAGAAAATGTATACCAGAACCCTCTTGCTTATTTGAAATAGTTACTGGTAAAAATTGGACCAATTTTCTTCTAAATCATTGACACAAAATTACTGATAAATGCCTTGGTCATCTTTGCAAATCTCTGAGTTAAAGGACCCTTCCAGTATTATACATGTTCTGGTCTATGTTTTCTTACTCACTAATTCTCCTCACTATCTACAGAAGACCCACTTAGCAGGCCTCCCCTTACAGAAGGGCACCTTAACTGGATTTACTCCTTCCATAGTAGACTCCAGAAGCAGAAGAGGAAGGGCTCAGTAATAAAGTCACCATAAAGGATAATTTTTAAATAAATAAAGGAATCAGAAAACCCAATATTAGCCAGCACATATGACTATGAGCAAGCTTACCCTACAAAAAAAGGATAAGAAAACAATTCAAACGTTGGCCGTTTGGGGTGCATATTCTACAAAAAAAGGAAACTTTTGAAATTATATTTAATGATTTAAAATATTTGTAGGCTAGACACAGTGGCTCACACCTATAATTTCAGTACTTTGGGAGGTCAAGGCAGGAGGATCGCGTGAGGCCAGGACACCAGCCTGGGCAACATGGCAAGACTCCATATCTAGAAATAGTCAAAAAAAAAAAAAAAAAAAAAACTTAGCCAGATATGGTGGCCCGCACTTGTGGTCCTGGCTACTTAAGAGGCTGGGGCAGGAGAAACACTTAAGCTCAGGAGTTTGAAGTATAGTGAGCTATGATCATGCCACTGCACTCCAGCCTGGGTGACAAAACAGATCCTGTCTCTTAAAAAAAAACTGTATTATATACCAGGTAAAATGTGCTAGGTGCTGGGGAGAGATCAGAGGATAAAACAGACCAAAATATCTGTCCCCGTGGCACTTGTGGTCTAAAGGAGGAAAAAAGGCAATAAACAAATTAAAAAGAGGAATACAAAGTGTTGGGGTAGGGATGAGTACAACAGAGGAAAATCAAGCAGGAAAGAGGGAACACTGGAGATAAGTAGGGCCAGTGTCAAACAGGATGGCCAGGGAAGGTCACACCGAGAAGGTGACACCAAAGCAGAGACCTACAGGAGGCGAAGTGCCGAGCCATTCAGGTCACTAAAGGAGGAGTGTTCCCGGGAGAGGGGACAGCAGTGCAAAGGCAGGAAGGAGCACCAGACTGTGTGTTGAGAAAAGTGAGGGAACCCAAGCAACTAAAGCAACATGTAAGAAGAACAAGCATAATGAGCTCTCAGAGACAACTAGGTAGGAAGTGTCTTAATCTGTATTACTGTAAGGGAATATCTGAGGCTGGGTGATTTATAAAGAAAAGGAGGTTTGTCTGGGTCACAATTCTATAGACTGTACAAAAATCACAGCATCA